TTCTCCTTTTCTCAAAAGACAGCCTCGTGACCCAGTGTGTGCCATATTCAATTAAAAGCAGTAAAGAAAAGCCAATATTCTTTTCATCTTCTCTCACCAGAACTTTAGATGTCTTATTCTATATTTGTTTTTTAATAATAGTATTAGTAGACATCATCTATCTAGAACTGACTATATGCCAGGTACCATGCTGTTATCATGTTTTTATTTAATCATCAATCATCTCCTCTGAGATTGGTATTAGAACTATCCTCATTTTATGGATGAGTAAGCTGAGCTAAAAGTTACAAGTAAGCAATTTGCTTGATGTCACTTGAGTAGCAAGAAGCAGAGTTGGAGTTTGAACAGCTCTACCCTTAATAATTACATTGCATAATATGATATTATAAATACATAATTTCTTTGGAAATGTTTCTGTTAATGACCACCAGTTTTCAAAGCCATTTATTATTTTCAGTAATAGCAATTAATGAATTAAACCCTGTTCAGTTTCTCTTTAATTAATATTCTTTTGATTTTTCCCTCATACAAACAAAGCCAAGGTCCCAAGTAAGTGTTTTACAAAAATTATCCCACTTAATTCTCATAACAATTTAAGGATGCTTAGAGAGGTTATGTATTGGGGATCCCTGGGTGGCTCAGGGGTTTAGCGCCTGCCTTTGGCTCAGGGTGTGATCCTGGAGTCCTAGGATCAAGTTCCATATCGGGCTCCCTGCATGGAGCCTGCTTCTCCCTCTGCCTGTGTCTCTGCCTCTCTCTCTGTGTCTCTCATGAATAAATAAATAAAATCTTAAAAAAAATAAAAAATAAAAAAAAGAGAGGTCATATATCTTGCCCAAATGGTCAAATTGATAGCAAACTGCTGAGATGAATTTGAACAATGTCATTGTTCAGGGTTTTTTCATTGTTTTTCAGTGTTTAAACAGTTTAAACTCTTCACTTCAAAAGGTCCATTTCTTACAGGTTTCTTCCTTCTGCTGTAATCATTATATGCCCTGTTGAGCTAGGTAAGTTCCAAAGGTTAATGTCATTCAAAGTTATTTTTGATTCTTTGAAATAATTTACTTAAAATATTTCTGAAGACAGGCTTTCCACAAGACATATGCACTGCATTAACAGCCATTCTTTAACAGAACAAAACCTTCCTAGTTAATATTTCTTATTTTAGATTCTTAGATTAGAAACCCAGCATCTTCCATAAAGTTGTGTTTCCTTTAGACTCAGCTGTGAGCACCAATATAAGTGATGCAATATGCCAAATCTTGTTTTCCTTGTTGACCGATGGGCCAAGTTCATCTTTCTCATGACCATTTGATAAGCAAAGAATATTGAGTCATACATAGAGCCTTTTTACACTGGGTAAAGGTTTCTAAGCTTTCTAAAAATAAAGGCAATTCGAGAGTAACGAGTAACGTCATATTTTTAATGCCCTGAGTTTGTTTTATTACATAACTTAGCTATAAATACTGCCAATGAGTCTCTGTTTCAAAACTGTATCTAACGTTCAGTACCAAAATGAGGACATATGTCCTTCACAATATAACTATTTTATGAAAGGAGAGAAAAAAAGAAATTCTTTCTGATTTCAGCTCTATCAACAAATTTTGTTTCTAGTTGTTATAGCAGTATTATGAATAAATGTAGGCCTTTTGGTGCTTTGGGGGTTTTGTTCAGATGAATGTTGTGTAGAAAGCAACACAAATATGTGTAACTTAATTTCTTGAAGAAGAAAAAACATTGTTGCATTACAAAATGTTGGGATTTGTTTGTTTTAGATAGTGAATACAATTTAACTGAAAACGATTGTAGTCTTTTCATCAAATTAAACCACGGCTATTTTTGTTTTACTTTATGCTTCTTTGTATGTATTCTAATTAGCAGTATTCTAATATGGACAACCTTACAAGTGACACGATTTTAAGAGGCACCTTCCTTATCTCAATCACTGGTCCCCTAGACTCAGTTAAGGGAATGTCAGAAATCTCATAATTCCTTTGTCCATTCCACACATTCTTTTGTCCTATTAAAATGTTAATAATGCCAGACTGGTTGACACATTGAGTCTTACCAGGTAGCTGATACACTTGGGAGTCTTTTACTAGGAGTCTGGATATCTGAAATCATTGATAAAACCTTGTATTTTCTTTCAGCCAGATGAAGCATAAGGATGAGTCTGTTCAGAAAGTAGAGTGGGAGATGCAATTGTTGGGAAATTCAGACATATGTTTACAGATGACTGTGGTTTATGTAAAACGATTGTTTAATTGGCAACCACTCCATAAGATATTTAGCATTTAGACAATTCATAGAGGCACACTACAGATACAGTACTGTTTATTTGTATTTTAAATATTTTTATTTATTTATTCACGAGAGACACAGAGAGAGAGGCAGAGACACAGGCAGAGGGAGAAGCAGGCTCCATGCAGGGAGCCCGATGTGGGACTCGATCCGGGGACTCCAGGATCACACCCTGGGCTGAAGGCAGGCATCAAACCACTGAGCCACCCAGGGATTCCCAACCGTATCTGTTTAAATTTTCTGTTATATAGCAATTTTGCAGAACTATGGTAGTTAGCCTTAGCAGTGGTCCCCCAATGACCCCCCAATTCCTGGAATCCACACTCTTGTGTAGTCCCCTCCTCCACTGCACCAGGGTCAGTTTACCATGTGAGTGATAGAATATGTGTCACCTCTGAGACTAGATTTTAAAAATCTTTGCAGCTTCTGTCTTGGTCATTTTCTTGCTCTTTTGGATCACTGGCACGGGGAAGCCAAGGTCATGTTGTGAGTGGCTCTGTGGAGAAGTGCCTATGGTGAGGAACTTGAGGCCTTCAGCCAGCAGCTCCACGAATGAGCTAGGAAGCAGATCCTCTAGCACAGTCAGCCACTCAGGCAACCATCGTCCCATCCCATCCGCAAAGAAACTTGACTGCAGCTTCACAAGAGACCTTGTGAAGGTGTCTCGGAAACACCCAGTTTACCCAGCCTCAGATTCCTGATTTTCAGGAACTCTGTGAGATAATAAATGCTTGTTGTTTTTAAGCTGCTAAATTGTAGAACAAAATATTTGTTACCTTGCTAGAGATACTGAAAAATAACCCATTCATTAGTCACCAGAATCTGTAAGCTGAAATACCCATGAAGCATTATAATTTGGCATGAAATTCCTGCAAGGTAAAAAAGTATAAACAAAATGTAATAAATTTACATACTTACCAAGTCCAGGCAGGGGGCAGCCCCGGTGGCGCAGCGGTTTGGCGCTGCCTGCGGCCCAGGGCGTGATCCTGGAGACCCGGGATCGAGTCCCACATCGGGCATCTCTGTATGATGCCTGCCTCTCCCTCTGCCTGTGTCTCTGCCTCTCTCTCTCTCTCTCTCTCTCTCTGACTCTATGAATAAACAAATAAAACCTTAAAAAAAAAAAAAGATACAAAGTCCAGGCAGGTGGTGGCCATGATGAACTGAAGACTGTTCCCTAGGTCTATGGATGGAAACAGACATGTGTTGCCATGTGGGTATTTGGGTCGCCGTATTGCCAGATCTTTTCATTTTTCAAGGGTACTATGTATATGGGTCAGTCTCTTCCTAAGCACACATTACACTCCAGATAATCAATCCAAGCTAATCATAGTAAGTCTATACTTTCTGCCATTGAATGGTTCAGGAATGGGCACGTGACCCAATAATGACAAACTAAATGTGAGGAGAAATCTCTGAGGAAGTTTCTGGGAGAGGGTCTTTGCTCCTAATAAAGAGGCACAGAAAGAACAATCTTGTCTTTTTCTGTCTCGTCGTAATGCATTGTTATTTGCTGAGAGTCTAAGATGAAGCAAGCTAGCACTAAGATGACCAAGGAGAGAGAGAAAGAGCCTGGAAGTTTAATGACATAGCTAGGCACTGACGCAATCAACCCCGGAGAAATCTGCATTTCTGATTGTATAAGGTCATAAAGTCTGTTAAAATGCCTTATTTTAAGGCCGTTGGAGTTGAGGTGTCTTTTACTTGGAGCAGAAAAAACATTCTAACAGATACACAAGGGAAGCTGGTAGTCCATAATTTTGCAAACAACTGATTTTTAAAATGCATGAAAATCAACTTTAAAATAGTCCTATATCAAATAAAATATATCTGGATGGCATGTTCATCCTACTAGCTGCTAGTTTGTGATCCTTTTGTAGTCACTATACTACTATACTGCCCAAAAACATTTTTTAAGCTCATTTACATTTGTTCAGTGACTGTTTATTGGCTGCCATTTGGCTCCTGGAAGAAGCCGAAAAGTCCTGATAATTGTCATTTGTTCAGTGTCTAGCACTTAACATACTGTTTCTAATTCTTACAACTCTATTAAGTAGAATTGTTCTCTCTGTATTACAGATAGGCAAACTGTATTTAGAGAGGTTAGCAGTGATTGATAAGTAGGGAGCCAGGATCCCTATATCCTACCTCCGCCTCTTCCCACATACCATATTTCACCCCCATTCTCAGGCAATGAGTTCTCCAGAGGACATTTATGCATGGAAGACAAGCCTAGACAAAGGCAGGCTTTTTACAATTAGCTCCCTGTGAGGACCCTGCTTCTCCCTCTGCCTATGTCTCTGCCTCTTTCTGTGTGTCTCTCATGAATAAATAAATAAAATCTTAAAAATATATATCTATAAGTATTGGGGGAGAGTCTTTAAGTACCCCCTGGAGGCCAAGAAACAAAAAACAGGGATTTGAACCTAGGTCTGCTGGATTCTAAATGGATACTGAATCAATTTACCTGAATCACAGCGAGGTCAGTTAGGTTTCTCTTAGCTCAGTGAAAGGAGAGATTTTTCCAACAATTTGGTCTTTCTTTTTTTAACCATGCAACATTGTCTTTTATTATGTATGGGTTTTAAAAATTATTTCTTCAATCTATCCATACACAGGCAAAAGTAAGTATACTGTTTAACATACTGGAACTTAGAAATATTGACCATTGCCTAGAGAAAGGAAAACTATCCCTAAAACGTGCTTAACCAGGAGGTCAATTCATCTGCTGGCCTCCAAGAACATGGAGATGAACATGATAGACAGACTGTCCCCCATCTGAACCCACATTCACCACCATTCGATAACCTTTCTTCAGGCCCAGATCAGCAGCACATTTCTTGCCAACAATCATTAAATGTCCAAGAAGACTTTCATCATCATCTTCTGCTACAGAAATCTGGGATATATGTTTCTTGGGTATCACCAGAAAATGAGTTGGTGCTTGAGGAGAACTGTCATGGAAAGTAAGACATTGGTCATCCTCAAAAATGATTTTGGCTGGGATTTCCTTGCGGATGATCTTTCCAAAGATTGTGTCACCTCCAGGCTGGGAAGCCTGAGCCTTGGCGATCTCATCAGCCATCACAGCCTCCTCCTGCACGGCCGCCCTGGGAGAAGCTCGGGAGCCAATTTGGTCTTTCTAGAGATGGAGTATGCTGGCTCCCAAGTAAGAATTTGCTCCATCAATAGTTTTCAAGAAAGAAGGATCCCTGGGTGGCTCAGTGGTTTAGTGCCTGCCATAGGCTCAGGGCGTGATTCTGGAGTCCCCAGATCAAGTCCCACATCGGGCTCCCTGCGTGGAGCCTGCTTCTCCCTCTGCCTGTGTCTCTCATGAATGAATAAATAAAATCTTTTTTTAAAGATTTATTTATTCATGATAGATATATATATATATAGAGAGAGAGGCAGAGACACAGGCAGAGGGAGAAGCAGGCTCCACGCAGGGAGCCCGATGTGGGACTCGATCCTGGACTCCAGATCGTGCCCTGGGCCAAAGGCAGGCACCAAACCGCTGAGCCACCCAGGGATCCCATAAATAAATAAAATCTTTAAAAAAAATTTTTTTTTCAAGAAAAAGCTAGAAGTTCACTTGGAGAAGGATTGCTGCTTTTGACAGAAAATTGGAGCTCTAACTCCTTTTCAGCACTAGGTTCTGTGATTCTCAGATCACTGGCAAGAAGTTCTAGTGATGTTTTTCTTCCAATCTTTATTCTTTTCATCTGCGGCCACAGCCCACCTGCAGCTGAGGGGTTTGAAAACCACTCATTATGCTTCGGCAAACTCCTTAGGAAAAATGTTTTAACTCAAAATACTTAGTGTTTCATTGGCTTTCGGGGACCAAACTTGTTGAGGGGTAGAGAAAGCCAACACATCAGAGAAGACAAATGCTCCAGTGAGTGGAGCTAGAGCAGCCTTGTGTTTGTCATTCATCCAAGAGGGGAATTACTGAGGCGCAGTAACTAAGAGGTACAAGCTGGCTGGGAAGGGAGCTCTGTACACACTTCGTGCTTTGTTTAGGCGGGTTCTCACTGGGGTGACTTAATTTGAGTGGTTAAGAGTTCAAAAGCAGTTACTGAGAATATTCTACTGTACTATAGTTGGCATTTTTAAGTACTATGTTCAACAGTTTATATGCATTATATCGTTACTCCACGCAGAGATTTATCATGCAAGTACTATTATTGTCCCTCTTGTCAAGCCGGTGGCTTAGGGAAGTAAGGGAACTCACCACAGATCCCATAGGAAGAACTAGGCCAGACTGAGCATTGGTTTGATTCCAAAGCTGAAGTAACTATATATTTTTGAGACATATATAAAATATATGCTATATATACTCCTCATCTCTTTGTATTATTCGACTAATACTGAAAATGAATCTGTAGGATTAGTTTCCATATAGAGATTATACCAAGATTGTATAAAATTTTAAAAATATAAAAATTTTAGGGTGCCTGACTGGATCAGTTGGTGGAGCATGGAACTCTTCTTTTTTGTTTGTTTGTTTCTCTGGGTAAGTTCCATTTATTAATTGTTGTAGAAAAGCACGTGATGCTTAATCTCAGGGTTCTGAGTTCAAGCTCCATGTTAGGTGTTAGAGATTACTCAAAAATAAAATCTTTTTTTAAAAAATCAAAATTTTAAAAAGGTACTTTGTTCTTTTTTTTAGAGAATTCAGTTTTAAATAATGAGAAAAATAGAGAGCAAATGACTTAAGCGGAACTTATCTTTTGCTCTTCAACACTATATACACTCCATATATGTATTTATATATTGTTATATTTAGGGCTGCTGTTGCAGTTGTGGGTCCTCAGACATCTTCATGACTGAAGGCTGGCAGAGAAGAATGTGGGCCCTCTGCTGCCAGAGACATCCTGCTAGCTGTAGACATCTGCCTCTGAATCACTGTACCATTCATTTAGCAATTCATCATCTGTTTCTGGACCTTTTATTTTCTTAAACGTTTAGCTAAATATATTATTCTCTTATTGTATTCCTCTGCCCTAACAGCCTGATAATGTCTTATAATTTCAAATTTCCCATGGCCCCCACACAGGCTTTCATATAATTTGATATTTTTTTCCTTTTATGTGAAAGAGCAGTGCTCAGTGTTCTTTTAACAATTTTTTTTGCGCTTGGAATTGTACAAGTAAATGCTGATTTTATGCCATATGTTCAAAAACTTAGCTTTTCCAAATACAGGCAGTACCCAAATTGCAAATGGAACTTTTCCAAAAGTTATTTTGTATACTGGTTTTTGGAACTCTGTAAAAATAATATGCATATCGATTGTATTTCCAAATACAAGAGCTATTCAACCCATCACACATGTGAAGTAAAATCATTTCCGAAACAACCATAAAACCAAGTGTTTATATACATAAAACATAGTTGTATATGTACCCCATGCCTATCCCCAAGACTCCCTGCTGTGATATGAGCAAGCAGATGACCTGTTCACTTTTTTAGGTTTTAAGCCAAGAGGCTGTGGGTAGTTGAGCTCTTGGGACTCGAATCAATGAGGTTGCATGATGGAATCGGGAGGTCACAGAACTGACAAGGGGTATTATAGGGGACCTCCTGGGGCCTTCTAAGTGTTGTGGTAGGGGAATGCCTGCAAGGTGTCAAATACTAATTTCTTTCAGTTCCTTTTCCTTGCTCTTTTTTGCTGCCGAAGGGATTGCAAGGCAGAAAAAAAAATCAGCAAAGGGGTTTTGCAGCTGTAACAAGATGGAGTTGACTCCCCTTTCCTTTGGCTTTGATATCTGTGATACGAGGTGATGAGAATCTGAGGAGGGATCTGTGGCTAGGTCCTGACTAATTCAGACAGGAGAGAATTTCTCCTTGCAAACACCCCTCCTCCCCTCGCACACATGCTGCAATGTGGTGGGATGGGAGAAAGAAATGCATTTCACGGATTTGACTGAGCCTGGATATCCTAAATGTCTGCATGTTGGTAGCAGCAAGGAGGAATGAAAGAAGAGAGGGAAGGAAAATATTAGCAGAGGAGGGAAGTGATATGTAACGGATAAGTTTGTTTAGGTCATATTTTGCCTGTAAAATAGAGGATAAAACCCAAATCGAGGCCCCTAAATTCACAGTCCAATTACATAAATGCAATTTTATTGTCTAGGAAAGATGTTTTAAAACCTACATTATTAAATCCAGATGTAGAATCTTCTGTGGGTAACTCCACTTTGTCTGTGTCAGCTTTAAAATGTTAAATATAAGTCAACCTTGGAAAATCTTTAGCTCTTAAGTAGTACAGGGGGCTGGAGGAGAGGCCAGCCTGCCCAGGCATCTCTCATCTCTCCCCTCTGGAGCTGAGTTCCAACAATCTTCTCTTTTACTCCCTTCTCTCTCATGATTTCACCCTCTTCAAGGTACACAGATGTATAGGAACTAGGTCTGCCAGCAGACCCCCACCGAGTGTGAAAATAATTGGTGGAGGAGCCACGCAGGGGAGGGAGGGCAGCAAGATCTAAGCAAGGCAGCCAGAATCCCAAGGCAGAAGGTGGAGAAACGGGTGGACAACTCCTATTAGAATTGCTGCCTATTATATCAAGAATCTGTGATTGGTGAATTCTAAAGTAAGTTAATCAACCTCTCTTCCACAAGTACCCTTTTAATTATGCTTTTGGAGCCAGAAAAATTAGTTTAGTTAAAGAAAACCCTAAAATAGTGCATACAAGCATCTTGAATAAAGATTTGACAAATACACCTTGGGATTCCTAATACTCTTTTTACCCAATTCATACTGAAATAAAATTAAATATTTAGTTAAATAGGAGTGGGGAAAATCAAGAAAATAATTCACAAAAGTTAAACTAAAATGGATTATTTGAGCTAGGTTAGAGAAGAAAATCAGTTTTTTTTAAAGATTTTATTTATTTATTTATTCATGAAAGACACAGAGAGAGAGAGAGAGAGAGAGAGAGAGAGAGAGGGGGGGGGGGGCAGAGACACAGGCAGAGGGAGAAGCAGGCTCCATGCAGGGAGCCCAATGTGGGACTTGATCCTGGGACTCCAGGATCACGCCCTGGGCCAAAGGCAGGCACTAAACCACTGAGCCACCCAGGGATTCCCAGAAAATCAGTTTCTAATTGAAACCTAGGTTTTGGGGATCCCTGGGTGGCTCAGCGGGTTAGTGTCTGCCTTCAGCCCAGGGCGTACATGATTCTGGGGCCCCCACATGGAGCCTGCTTGTCCCTCTGCCTCTCTTTCTATGTCTTTCATGAATAAATAAAATCTTGAAAGAAAGAAAGAAGGAAACCTAGGTTTTAACAATGAATGTTTAAGTTATACTCAGATTTTCTTCAGGGTACATTAAATTATGGGATAGTAGTCCTCCCTTGCACTTAAAAAATGATTACCAGAAAGAAAATATTATCGTCTCTTTGGCCTTCTTTTTCCTTGTTTAGCTTCAGTAGCATGGCCAGGATCCACTGAAAGGAGAAATCCTAAGATACCCAACTCCAGTGATTTATAAAAAATTCGAAGCTAACTTGTTTTGGGATGATGAGTGGAGCCGTTTAAAGGCTCTACTAAAATACGGTCAGGCCAACAGGGTGGCTTCAAAATTGCCAGCAGCGAGTCGGCTTTGGAGAGGCAAATGAGTGGGCTTAACTCCAGTTCGTTGCCCTGCAAAAGCGAGACAGGTGTTAGAGGGATGGATTTTTGGATAGGATGGAGACCCGGACGGATGAAGTCTTCTCTGGTTAGAAAGGAAATTTGGTATTAAGAGGGCCTCACTGAATCCCAGTAGTAACCAGACAACTGGTGTCGTCCAGGGCACCCGGTGGAAAGTGGGAGGCAGGAAGCAGAAAGGCTCAAACTCCTCTCCCTGGGTCAGTTCAGGAATTTAATTTCAGCCAATGTTTATTGGAGCCTAGGAAGGGTTGGGTACAGTGTTAAGCACCGGGATATGAAGCTCAGTGAAGCGTCTTGTCCTTGAGGCGCTCACACTCCAGTAGAACGAGTGGCTTCAACATTCCTCGTGCGCTTTTTAAACTTTTATCCTGGGACTTGTCAGGGGAGAGCTGCGACTGGGTCCATCCACACTTCCCTCCCGAAGATTCCAAGACCAGGGAAACGAGACCCGGCGCGGGGAGCGGAGGGGAGATGCTGCAGGGGCTGGTGCCAAGCTGCGAGCCCCAGGCGGTGCGGCGGTGCTGCCTTCGGGCAAGGCGCGGCCAAGACCTTCCCCCGCCCTGGCTCCCTGGAGCTTGTGGCCCCGGCACGGCGACGCCGAGGCCCGGAGCCGGCTGGGGGCGGGGGGCGGGGGGCGGGGGCGGCCCCGCGAGGTCCGAGCGGGGGGGGGGGTTCGAGCGGGGGGGGGGGTCCGGGCGGAGGGCCGAGCGGGGCGGGGGGATTCGAGCAGGGGGTCCGGGCGGGGGTCCGAACGGGGGTCCGGGCGGAGGGGAGGGGGCCCCGGGCAGGGGTCCGGGCGGGGGTCCGGGCGGAGGGCAGGGGATCCGAGCGGGGGGTGCCGGGCGGAGGGCCGGGGGGGGGGGTCCGAGCAGGGGTCCGAGGGGGTTCCTGGCGGGGGGTGCCGGGCGGGGGGGGTCCGAGCGTGGGGGGGGGGGGCGGCTCCCGCACGGGACTGCGCGCCCGCGCCCGCGCCCGCAGCCAGGGGGCAGAGTTCCCGGGCTCGTGCTCCGCCGGCCACCTGGGGCTCAGGCCCCACCACCCCCGCCCGGCCCGCGCCTCCTCCGGCCGAGTCCTCTCGGCTTCCGAGGGGCAGCGGCGGAGGCTCAGCGCGGGAGCCGCGGCGGGAGGCGAGGTGCGGGGGGCGGGAGGAGACTCGAGGGGGGCCTCGAGGGACGCCGCAGCCCCGCCCCCTCCTCCCCCCTCCCCTGCAGAAGCGGAGGAGCCGGGGAGCATGGACCAAACCCTGCTGCTCTGGCACCATGACGCTCGCCCGCTTCGCGGTGGCTCTGGTGTTAGGGGCGCTCCCCGAAGTGATCGGCTTCGACCTAGTCCCCAGTCGCCCCTTGCACCGCCGCTCCCGCCACGCGCCCCCTCCGGGTCCCCGGCGCCCTTCCTACCTCCCCGCCCCGCAGCGGCCCCCGCGCGCGCCGCGGCCCCACCGCGGGGACTGCCCGGCCGGCGAGCCCTGGGTCAACGTGACGGACTTCGGCGCCCCTTGCCTGCGCTGGGCGGAGGTGCCACCCTTCCTGGAGCGGTCGCCCCCGGCGAGCTGGGCTCGGCTGCGAGGGCAGCGCCACAACTTCTGCAGGAGCCCGGACGGCGCGGGCGCTCCCTGGTGCTTCTACGGGAGCGGCCAGGGCCGGGTGGACTGGGGCTACTGCGACTGCAGGCACGGTGAGTGGCCCCGCCGAGGCCCCCAGATGTCCCTGCGGGGGGGGGGCGTGCGGGGCCTCGGGCTTGCCTTGCCCGCTGTGCCGCCGCCTGCCCGCCGCCCAGGTACCCGCAAACACCTCGGCACCGTGACCCTGAATTGCCGAGGCGAGCTTCGGGCGTGAGGGCTGCGCGGGGATAGTTTTGTGCAAGGTGCTGCGCCCCGGGTTCCTGAAGGTGGTCTCTGGCCGCTGTGTGTGTGTGTGTGTGTGTGTGTGTGTGTGTGTACACGCGCACTAGTAGGGGAGGTGTGTGCGTGGGGTGGATGCGCGTTCTTCAGGGCGGCTTGCCTCGCCTTCAGGGTGTTACCGTATTTACATGAAAGAGGCAAAGTGAAAGGGGGATACAGTCTAATTACTTGTTTTGGAAAGGGAAATATTAGATCTGATATGACAACCAGTGACCTTTCCCCGCTCCTGGTAGACCCCTGTTTGGGGTCCGTCTGGAGGAAGGTGGTACGTTTTTGCCTTCACTCTCTCATCATTGACCTCTGAAAAAATGTGGCAAAATTTCCCAGCCAGAATCCAGCTTGTCAAAATGATGTTCCCATTCTGGGGCACAATTTGGCGAATATAATCAGTGAGTGAAGAGAGAAGAAAGGAAAAAGAGATAGTAACTATCTTAGGGAAGAAGCAACTTGATATCCTCAAATGCAGTTTTCAAGAATGCCATTTTTTTTTTTAACCTGTATACGTTATTTGTGGGCAATTGGGATTAGTTGGTAACATCAAGAGAAAAAGTTCCCTAAGATGTCTTGGTTTTATGGTACAATGAAAACATAGTAATAGGTTTAATGTGTGTAAATGATCTGCCTTTGAACGGGGCTTCATTTTGAGTTGTTGGGGTTTTGTTTAACATTAGGGCTTCGCCCAGGCCCCACAACCCCCTTCTTTAATAGCTGGGGGGGGGGGGATTTATGTCCTTCAAAGTTTGAATTTTCCTTCAAACATCTTCTTGGGAGCTCTGTGTCTAAGCTACAGGGCAAAGGTTTCATGAACTGGGATTCTGAGATATGTTACACTTTGTACCTTTTGGAGGTAATTTGGAGGTTGGCTTTCATAGTGCCATTTTTTTCTAAAGACATTTTTATTTATCTAAGACATTTATTGCATTAGCCTTGAGTTAAAGAAAAGTGATAGGAAGGTTAAGATCAATTATCCTTCATCCTGGAGTATGAAGTCATTGCTATGTTCGTGTTTCATGGACAGAATGCCAATGTGGTTATAAAAAAATTGAGGTGATATCAGGCAAAGAGCCCTAGCCTTGTCTCATTATTTACTGTAAGAGATTACTTATAGTAAAATATCATGTTTAGCAAACACTGGGAATTTTTTCACTTTCCTGTTATTGTAATATATTTCATGTTTTTATTATTTTTTAAAAAGATTTTATTTATTTATTCGTGAGAGACACAGAAGGAGAGAGAGGCAGAGACAGGCATAGGCAGAAGCAGGCTCCATGCAGGGAGCCCAACGTGGGACTCAGTCTGGGGTCTCCAGGATCAGCAGCGCTAAACCGCTGAGCCAGGCGCTGCCTGGTATTTCATATTTTTAAATGTATATTTTGGAGATATATGTGTGTGTGTGTATATACTGAAAGAAGAATGGAATTCAAAGTTAAAACACAATAGTGATAAATTACTCTCTTTCTCACACAGAATTCCTTTAACTTTATATTCCAAATGAGGAGACTGGTTATTCTTTGTTTCCCCCCTTGTGTTGAATAGAAATTTAAATCCAACAGCACCATAGACTCTTTGTGATGTTTTTATGTTCTTAGCTAATTCTCACCAGACCAGAATCCCAAACACTGCATAATCGTCCTTCGTGCAGTACTTCCTGGGGCAAAGTGATTGTACACAAGAGAAACAAAAGAAACCACCCAAGATGGGAGATAAATGCACGCACCCCCCCCCCAACAGGAAAACAGTTAGCTGGCTATATAATAATTAATTACTTTCACAAACCCCATCTTAATAACCCGAGCTTCCTATCCTTTCATTTACTTCTCACTTTCTGATGAGGCATGATCTATACTTTTGAAATGACTGGTATGTTCTGAATCTTATGACTTTCTGGCCTTGGGTCTATATTTCACTTTGGAGAGTAAACAAAGCTATCATGGAGTAGCGAAAATAAGGAATTATGCTTTAGAAAACACTGGTGTCCATTTTGGGTCTGGCAGTAGCTATGTAGTTTGGGGAAGACTCTTAACTCCCAGAGCTTTGGTTTCCTTATCTGCAGAAAAGCAGTTTTTGATGAGATTAATTCAAAGAACTTTTCTGGCTCTGAGCATGTTACCAGAATGACCTGGCCTGGTAACAGCGAGGGTTTATTGAGCATTCACTCTGTGCTGAATGCTGAGGTAAGCGTTTTATATATTAATTTTCTCATTTAATTCTCACAACAACATTAGAAGGTAGTGTACATTTCCATGTCACAACTCATTTTGCTCTAGTTCTTTAATTATATAAACCTGTAGGAATATATGTGCTGTCTGATTTTGTAGCTTAAGGACTAGTCTGAAAGGAAAGAGGAAGGGAATTATGTTTGGTCCAATGCACATGATTTCCTGTATCTTAGGATTTAGAAATATCCAGAGGTCTTTTTTTTTTCCTTTTTCTTTACAAACAAAAACCAAAAAAAAAAAAAAAAAAAAAAAAAAAAAACCCCACAAAAAAACAACTAGAACAAAAGGAAAGAACATTTATAGTAGTAAGATCCCTCCTTCAAAAAAGAAACTGGAGTTCAGATTCCCAGATCTAGTTGCATTGAGAGAAATGAGGGAGTTGGTGCCTTTGAGGTAGAGAGTTGGTCTAAGCCTAGTTGAAGGGGCGCAGGGGGAGATCTGAGGTGAGCTTAGGGCAGGGCGTGGACACTCCAGTGGCTCAAATGTCTGAGAGTGAGAAAGGTGATGCCTGGGCCCTAATTGTATGAAACTGAATTAGTAATGAAGAATCGTTTGGAGGATTAGAATACCCTAAATCAGTCCTGGAAGTTTGTCCTCATAATCAGCGCCTAGGAACTTATTAAATGTGGATGCCTAGGCTCTAGCCTTCAGAAGCTCTGATTAAGTAATCCTTAGATCTTAGATTCCTGAGAATGAGTCTCCCTCCACCTCCGTCCCAGGACCCTGAGATCATGACCTGAGTCGAAGGCAGATACTTAACCCACTGAGCCGTCCAGGCGTCCTGAGAATGTGCATTTCTGAAGAGCAGTCAATGTGATTTGGATGCTGAAGACCCTTTGTCACACTTGGGAAAACCAAAGGTTGGCATCAGAAACCATCTAGAATATATAGTGGTGGATGATTATGTAGATGGAGTCCACCATCTGTGACTTAATTCTGCTAGGTGTCAGATCAAACAGAAGGCAGGCCCATTAGGGGAACTTTTTGTGTCATTCTAGGAAAGGGTACTACTGTTTTTCATTTGATTGGTGTGGGATAATAACAATCCAGTTCACCAGAATATGATTATTAACTGCACATGAGCCAGGTTATTTTTTGTATTGCTACAGAAAGAATTAACACGCAACTGATTCCGCCCCCCCACCCCCATACCCTGCAGTAATTTAGAGCTTCCTGACTAGGAAGGGAAGATCACTTTCCGGTCACTAGTTGGCATGGCAGATGGGACAACCTGACGCTGTGCTAACTAACTACTCTGCGTGATAAGCAGCCGAGTGGAACTCAGCTGTAGGTGACTGATGACTCATATGCGTGTACCCACCCCAGTCTCCTGATTCAAACAGAGATGGGAGACTTATGGGACAGTTGTTTACAGGCTGTACTCTTTGAATTCTATCTGGTATTTGAAGTGAATATTAATTAAAAAGTTGGCTGAAAACTGTCCCTTTAAAAAAAAATGCTGCATCTTGATTCTGTGTAGCAGGTTCTGAGAGACATTAGCAATACCAGATCTGATATATTTCCTGGCAGGATTATGAATTTTGAGCTCAATCTGCTCTTTAGGATAAAGCAGATATAAAATACTTTGAGGGATTCTCTCTTTACTAGTCTGAAGATTTTTTTTTTAAGAAGAAAGATACCTAGTTACTATTGCCTTTTTTATTATTATATTAAAAGATTTTATTTATTTATTCATGAGAGACGAGAGAGAGAGAGAGAGAGAGAGAGAGGCAGAGACACAAGCAGAGGGAGAAGCAGGCTCCATGCAGGGAGCCCAATGTGGGACTCGATCCTGGATCCCGGGATCATGCCCTGGGCCGAAGGCAGGCACTAAACTGCTGAGCCACCCAGGTATCCCTACTATTGCCTTTAAAAAAAAAAAGTTTATTTATTTATTTTAGAGAGGGAGAATGAATGGGAGGGTCAGAGGGAGAGGGGAGAGAGAATCTCATGCATACTCCAAGCCGAGCTTGGAGCTGGATACAGGACTTGATCTTACGACCCTGACATCATCTTTGTAAAGTGATTTGGTTCAGGGGTGCCTGGGTGGCTCATTCGGTTAAGTGGCTGTCTTCTGCTCAGGTCATGATCTCAAGGTCCTGGGATCTAGCCCCATGAAGCGCTCCCTTTCCCTCTGTCCCTCCCTGTGCTTGTGCTTTCTCTCTCTGTCTCTCTCAAATAAATAAATAAAATATTTTAAAAGGAAAAAAAAGTGATTTGGTTCATAATTTTGGAGGCAAACCTAAATATCCAGCTATAAGATACTACACAGAGGTCCCTTCATTTGGTGGATACTATGTGATAATTGTAGAGATTATATATAAAAAATGGAAAAATGCTTACGATAATGTTACGGGGAAAAGATGAATACCAAGTTTAAATACGTTAGCATTGTGAAAATAAAGATGTCTTTGGAAGAAGAAAAAAATTATATTACAAATTTGGGTATGAGTGTGGCTTGGATCAGTTAGGGTACTTTTCGTGACAAAGAATAGAAAACCCAATTCAGAATGGCTGAAGCAAAAAGGAGATTTGTTGTTCATATTACAAGAAGT